ATCAGCATGACAGGGGGCAGCGCCCAAACCCCCTGATCACCCTGCGGCTCTGTGTGTGACAGGGGGCGGGACCACAACCTCCTTATCGGCCCTGCTCTGTTCCTGACAGGAGAAGGCACCCCACCCCCTGATTGGCCCTTCTCTGTGACTGATAGAGGGGAGCTCCCCAACCCCTTGATCGCCCTGCTGCTCTGTGTGTGACAGGGGGTGGTGCCCCAAGCCCCCCGCCGCACGGGCCCTGCTCTGTGTGTGACAGGGTAGAGCCATAACCTCCCCATCGGCCCTGCCCTGAGTGTGAGAGTTCCGGTGCCCCAACTCCCTGATCGGCCCTACTCTGTGGGTGATAGAGGGCGGCACCCCAACCCCCTGATGGGCCCTGCTCTGTGCGTGACGGGGGAGCTCCCCAACCCCCTGATGGGCCCTGCTCTGTGTGTGACAGGGGGGAGCTCCCCAACACCCTGATCGGCCCTGCTCTGTGCATGACAGGGGGCAGCGCCCCTACCCCTTGATTGGCCCTGCTCTGTGTGTGACAGGGGGTGGCGCCGCAACCTCCCCATTGACCCTTCCTTGAGGGTGACCGGGGGCGGTGCCACAACCCCCCAATCGGCCCTACCCTAAGCATGACTGAGGGTGGCATTGCAACCTCCCGATCCGCCCTGCTCTGTGCATGACAGGGGGCAGCGCCCCAAGTCCCCAATCGGCCCTGCTCTGAGCCCGACCAGGGGCTGCACCTGGGGATTAGGCCTGCCCTCTGCCACCCGGGAGCAGGCCTAAGCCAGCAGGTTGTTATCTCCCGAGGGGTCCCAGACTGCGAGAGGGCACAGGCCGGGCTGAGCCCCCCACCCCCCAGTGCACAAATTTTTGTGCACTGGGCCTCTAGTAATAAAATAATAATGATAATAATGCAATTTATATTTATAGAACTCTTATTGTTAAGACATAATATTGAGTTCCTCCCTGAGAATTTTAATGTTATCCTTCAAGTAGCATTAAGTGGCATCTATACATTTGATGAACATTTCACACATCTGAACTGAGAGGTCGAGATGGGTTAAAATGACTTGCTCAACAGAACAGCCAGCAAGTGGCATAGGAGAACAGCAACACTAATTGGAGACATTTCTCCCTGGGAGGCAACTATACAAAAACAACTATACAAAAGAACTGAACATGGTTCTCTCTGGCTGGAATGTAGAGTGAATAGAAGAATGTAGCACTAGGGGAGAGACTTCAGGGGTATGAAGAGCTTCTGGGCTCTCTAATGAGACTGGAAACTGTGTAGAGACATGATACGGTTTTGGCCAGGAAGAAAAAATAACCTGGACATTGTTATTGTGAAGCCCATTCTTCCCAGTGGAAATTGAAGTTCTTTTTTCCTCTTATCTTCTCAGGCACATGAAGTTCTCCAGAGGTTCCTGCAGTCACAGGCAGCAACAGAGAATTCCATCCTGCAGGCAGACAAAGCTCTCACGGATAGGGAGAAGGCCATGGCAGGTAAGGGGCAGGGCTGGGCTGACAATGGGTGGCAGGTACCTGCACTGGCCTTTGACAGTTGTGAGAACAAAACCTCCTGATACAAGGAGCTTTCTCTCCTTCTGTGGGACCTACTCTCTAACTCTCAAAACACCAGGGTACATCAGCCAGCCAGGGCCTTTCCCATCCCACTGCTATGAGCTCTTGATGGTGTGGCAAGGGAGCAGTTCAGAGTCTTCTCACCTCCCCTTCCAGTGTGTT